AAAAAAAAGGTATTAAGTGAATTCAAGTAATAAAAGGCAGAAAGCTGGCTTTTAGTAGTTTAGTTCTACATAAGTCATAGAAGGTTTAAAATCCAAATTCTCTAGTCTCAGATCATTTTTAAAGAAAAGTCATAAGGATATGCCCACTCCCACCCACCAGCATCATTACAAATAGATAACATAATTGTAACACGGTGAAAGTAAGTAGGTAGAAGCTGGATGTCAGAAATAAAATATAAAAAATAAAGCCCTGTGAGGCAGGCTTAGATAATAAGGAAAAGAGCAACAATAACTCTTCCTAGATCACACAAGAAGTAAATAAGTCTTTTTCACTCCTCTCTAGTTCACACCTACAGGGGAATCTTTCCCCATTCCTTGACAACCAATCTCTCACATTCCAATATACCTAAAGGTTTTTTCCTTTTCCCTCCTCCCGTCATTTCCCTTCATTCCATTTCTGACCAATAATTTACTTTTCTGTTGTCTGACATCTTTTCTCTCCAAATTCCCTAATGTTCTCTCTCTCCTCCCTTTTTCTTCTCCGCCCCGCCCCCCACCTGTTTGCACAACTAGGTTTTCTTTTCTTTTTTTTTTAATAATACAAATTCTGGTTAATTAAAGAGATTTTTGTTGAAATGGAAAAAATATTGAACAATTGAGTGCGGCCCTCTAATTTCCCTAATATCATTTGTACAAAACATGCCTATATACTAGTAATGCTGCCCCTCATTTATGAGTTAGAAAGATTATTCATAAATGAGTTTACTCAAATAAAAATGAATTGATAAAACATTGATTATTGATCCATATTGGACTATCAATCTCAATCAGTACTTCCCAATGTTTATTTCTTTTTTGTGTGTGTGTGTGACCGGTAAGGGGATCGCAGCCCTTGATGTGGTGTCGCCCGCACCGCGCTCAGCCAGTGAGCGGCACCGGCCATTCCTACATAGGGTCCGAACCCGCCGCGGGAGCGACAGGGCCAGCCCCCAATGTTTATTTCTTAAAGCAATAGTTCAAGAAGGTGCTCCACAGAAGAATGATGGTTTCACGGTCAAAAGAAACAAGACAGTCACAACAAAGCACAGTAGGCGCTTAAAGAGTCTAAGAAATCCTGAAATGAAGAAACTTGCTTAACTTTATTATCCAGCTGTTCTCAAACTTATTAAGCTAATGAACTCTTTTCCCCCCAAAACCTGTTAATATCCCATAGAACATGTACTTAGGAAATGTTAATCCTAACCACTGACTAAAATATACTACGTAAAGTATTATACTTAATCTTGTAGCATATAGCTTTTAAAATGTTGCTGCTTTTAGAAAAAACAAAAACGAATTTACACAGAAAATAATTACCGAGATGCTAGATAAAAAGGACTCATTTTAAACAGTGCATGTATATTTACCTTACTGAGGTTCATTCAAAAATTAAAACTATCACCAATTTGATTTGGGGTGGTAGGGGGATAGGAAGGTGAAGAACAAAATTTTCCTTAAAGTCAAGTATATCATGTGGAATAAATATTTTATAAATACTAAGATCTAAGACTGTTTTTATTTTTTCTTCATTAATTTTCATGTTTG